ATTCCATACAAGGCCGGATTTGAGATTTGTAGAGATAGAAAATAGAATCCAGAGTAAAAATGTGTCGAGCTCGATAAAGAGATGCAACTTTGGCAGATTTTATTAGCAGCTAATTTTGATTAGATTAGCAGCTAATTTTGCAACGGATTTGATATAAGGTTTCCAAGAAAGATCAGAAATAAGAGTTAATCCTAGAAGATGAAGGGTAGATGACTCATCAAGTACATTACCGTTCATAAATATAGGTAGGTCTAAATTATTGCAATAACGATTGGCTGAAAAAAATTGAATTTTATCTGAATTAAAGTTCACCAGCCACTGTGGGCCCCATGCTGAAGCAGAAGTGAAATCCTTTTCAAGCTCAGATGCCCCCTGCAAGCAATCAGCGGGAGTTGGCTTCTTATCGTGACAAGAATAAATGGTAGTATTATCAGCGAACAATGCCACCTCAGATGTGAGAATATCTGGAAGATCGTTAATGTAAATTAAAAAAAGTATAGGGCCAAGGATTGAACCTTGAGGAACCCCTGAGGTTACAGAATAAGAAGAAGAGTGCTGTCCATCAAGGACAACTTTTATACTACGATTGGAAAAGAACGATTCAATAATCTTAAAGGTGTTTCCAGATACACTGTAAGAAGAAAGCTTATGGAGAAGACCAGCACGCCAAACTTTATCAAACGCTTTAGAAATGTCAAGAGCGATGGCCTTAACCTCTCCACCTTTATCTAATGCACAAAAAAACCTATCGGTTATTACTGATAGCAAATCAGCCGTAGAACGAGAGGATCGAAATCCATATTGATGGTCAGAAGACTAATGGGACGGTAGTTAGATGAATCAGATCACTCTCCAGAATTTTTAAAAATAGGGATAACAGATGCTGCTTTCCAGCAGGCTGGAGAACAAGACTCTGATAAGCACTTGTTAAATAGTTTTGATAGGATAGACGACAGCTCCGGAGAACACTTCTGCAAGACTATAACAGGTATGTCATCCGGACCACAAGCTGTAGAAGAGTCTAAGCAGGAAATTACTTTAGATACAGACGCTGGAGTGATACGGATGTCGAGCAATGGATCAACCTGTTTGACGGCTATATCAGGTAGAACGCAACTAGTAGAATCAAGAGATGATATTGATGAAAAGTTCTTAGCAAACAATTCAGCCTTGTCTTTAGGTGAGGTGACAAAGTCTGAACCATACAAAAGAGGTGGAATTACAGACTTGCCCTTATTATTGATACTATTAAAGATTCTCCAGAAGTCATGAGAGCCTGATTTTTGTGATGAAATACGAGATTTCATGGTCTGAGAATAGCGGGCTTTGGCGTTAGACAAAACCTTTTTACAATGGTTCCTAGCAGTAATAAACAGATGTCTGTTTTCTGGAGAATTGTTTTGCTGATAGATATGGAAGTAATGGTTTCGATTGGCAATTGCAGCAGCACAATGTGAGGAAAACCATAGAGAAGAGTGAAGCTTGACCTGGAATTGTCAAGAGGAAAAAAGGATTCCATGCCAGCCTGAATCCATGAAGTTATGTTAGAAGCACATTTGTCAACAGGAAGACGAAAGATTTCTACCCAGGAGCCATCACAAAGAAAATCACGGAAAGTGTCCTAGTCAGCTTTAAGTCTGGTGAACTTTGCAAGAGATAAGACTCAACAGAAGAATAGTTACTTCGAAGACCATGAATATTAGTGAATGATAGGTTTAGCGAACTTGGTGATGACTGTGGTTTTTTGTGCTTTATAGTTTTTGCTACTTTATTCATTTTTCAATTTGTTAAAGAACTTGACCCGAAACAGAGATAGTACTCAGTACACTGTTTTATAGCCCAAGCAATTGCCTCATTTCCACTAATAAACCCTAAGCCGTAACAAAGGGTTCCAATGTGGCCTTGGCAATGCACACCAAAAGTACAAACAGGGACACCATTCATGCGCAACATGGCACTGTTAGTACTCTGATGTTTTTCAGCTGTTGATGGAATCAGCCTCTCTGAGAGCTACCACAGAGCTCGGGAAACCTGACTACCAGCCGGCCTCAGAACCATAAAACTGAGTTTTAGAGCTGTACCCTCATTTGGAGATAATAGAATGAGTTGCCTAGTCATAAAAACAGAGACACAAGCAAAACCCATGCATCAAGTCAAGAAGATCTAGTGTTCAACATCCAGAACTGGAAAAAATGTATTAAAAATACATCTGCGCCAGCCTAATAGATGAAGAAGGGGTGCGAGGCTGGTCAACAGATAGGATCTGTTTACCCCTTAAGTCTTTGCCTAGGAGGCCTTCTACAAGACAGCAGCCGGAGGCATTTAACTGTAATAATAAATAAATCTGCCCAAGATGAGTATTTTTATCGAGACACCATTTCTAACCTTTACTCAACCAAGAGCTCCAAGGCAGGGGGTGTTTTATGTTGGAGTTTGCATCTCCTAGCCTTTGCCTTAAAAGGCATATCCTACAAGGCAGCAGGACATGAAGCAAATTGTACTGAGTTACATGTTACCAGTAGCAGCATAAACCTGACCTGACACTTAGATGTCGACTTTTTGTAATATTTGCTGAACATTTATAAAATAGGTACTACCTGATCCTTGCTGAAGTTTTCCAAATGGTTTCTTAATAGGGTCAGTTGTGAAATGTCCAAGGCAAACATTCTTATGACTTATAGTTAGTAGATGTTTTACTAGTTCAACCATCCCACGACATTTATGGGAAAAAGCATAAGAAATATCTTTTGTTAAATCTATTAGTCTATGATCTTGTTTTTCAGGAGCCATTTTTTCGACCATATCAGCCGAATTTAACAGAAAGTTCAATCGTTTATCATTGTTTAATGAAAATGTAGCACAATATTTATCTTTAGTACAAATATTTTCATAAAGTCCTTTTACATTAACAATTTTAAAAAAATTGATAAAAATAGATGAAAACACTGTGGTGTTTTCGACATTTTTTATGGATGGATGAGTTTTTATAGCAGCTACATCTCATCACAAAATAATCTTAAACAAGTTGACACATTTTGATGTTTAATTGGTTTAGGAAAAACCGCTGTTTCATTAAGTTTAGACAGTTTCATAATAGCATCTTTTTCAAATAGAAAAAGTTTTTTAAGATCTGACCATTTTGCAGTTCTTGAAATACCTTTGTAAGTAAAGCATAGTTCTTGGGATTTTTCTGTGAGCCAATTGTTGCGAATAGATTTTATTAAATGAACAAAGTCATACAGAAGGAAAATGTTATCATTAGTACACCAAGTATTATGGAGATTGAATATTCCAAAAAACTTTTTATTTATATTGTTATTGTCGCAAAGAATAGCAACAACAGAACCACATTTTTTTATCGCTTCAATTGTTTACACTGTTTGATCGTATTGAAAATTAGCATCTAAACCTGTTAATGGTAATGCTTTATACAAAAACTGTTTTCCACCAAATAAAGAACAAATCATTAAACCCAAAACTGTTTTTGCTAAGTTGTTTGGGGAATTTACAGATTTACCAAAAATGTTACCTCCTTGATATGTTAACTGTGGTTTAAAATATGTTTCATCAATTAGTAGAATAACCTGTCTTTGAGATATAGAGCATTTTTCAAAATACAACTTTTAAAAATCATTATCTCCAACATTTCTAACTTTAGATGTCAAATTTGTCATCAAAGATATACTTGGTAGTTCGTAGTCATCATGTAATTGAGAGTAAAGAGTTCTTGACAATGAAAAGTACTCAAATGCCCTAGCAACCATGTCAGAAGAATATATTTTCACGAATAAACATTAATGAGTTCATACTTAACATCTGTTCAATAGTAATATTTTTCTTGTGATTGATTGGTAAAGATTTCAGATAGTGTATTGCAGCATGGAGATGGCTAATGCAGTCAATAATATTCATATGATTGTAAGAAAAAGGTTTTATGGTGCACTTAACACCACAGTAATAGCTATCAAAGGATAAATCATTTTTTATTTTCAAAATAAACTTTGGAACACCCAAGTTGTCCAATATATCAGCAGATTGAAGATGCAAACAGTTTTCATTGATACTCAATATTATTGAGTAGGAAAAAGATATAGTTTTAGACATTATTTTATACACAAATCTTCGAAAGAAGAAATATTATCAGCTTTCACAAAAGCCTCCATTTCATCCGGCAAAGTACTTTTTAAAGATGGTAATGATTTAGTAGTTGGTGTTGGTGGTGCAAGTGGAGTTGAAATTTGATTAACTTCATGTAAATTAAAACTTTTTCATATTCTTTAGGCCAATAATTTTCACAAATAAAAGTATTTGGGCTCTCTGGAATATTATCTCGAGGTATAGTACTTATCTATCTTTTTTGTTCATCCACATTTTTTTTATTTGGAAGGCAAATTACTTTTACAGACTTTGTAACATCGTAGTTACCTCTGCATCCAGTGACACAACACTTAAAAAAACATATTCTTCAAATTTAATTATTTAGCTCTAAAAAGAAACCAAATTTAATATACATAAAATTAAAACGTATTGGATATTAAATTTAAAACCACGTTCATTATTTAAAACGTGCTATATTACTGGAACTTATAAAATATATACTTACAAAATTAAAACTCGCCTAGAGTTTTTTTTAACCATATGTTTACTAGGCCTGCCACTATATAGTAGGCCATGATATATGTATATATCTATATATATATATGCAGCCCTTGGAATTAGGGTTGGCATTCGGCAATGGCAACCTAACTGCCAATCTAAAAGTGTTTAAGTTTGACAAAAAATGACTGATCTTGTTTTTATGTTTTATGGTAAGACCTTAGTTTAAAGTTTTTTTTGCTGACCTGATGCTGACCTCTAAATTGAGGTAGGCAAATTATTGCCGACCTTGTTTTTTCTAATTCCGAGAGTTGTGTGTTTGTGTGTGTTTGTTTGTGTATGGGTTGTTATTATGTATATGTGTATATAATCACACTTTAGTTTTAATTTTTTATTTTATTTAGATGATAATTGCAATCAAATTTTTGCTGATATGCCAAGTAATACTGACCCATTGCGCTCTTTAAGCACCATATCTAGAAGGAGTTTGCGTCGCTCAACATCAAGCTCAGCTCATAGACAACAGTTGCAGGGCAATAATAAAGATGCTTCACAAGTTTTAAACTTGATTGATCAACAAGATGATATTGATGGAAGCAAAACAATTAAAATGTTGGCTGCACCTATGGCTAAAAGAAAATCTATTAGGTATACCTATAATTTAAATACACTTTAGTTAAGTAAACATTTAACAGATTTGAGATTTTTATAACTATATTTTTTTGGAAGTAAAATTATAGTAGTGTTAAAGAAACTTATGTGTTTTTATATTTATTGTTTCTACATTTGAACTTATCTGCAGTAAGTTTTAGTAACCCTTAAAAACTAGTTATTATAATCATTATAATTTGAAATAAAATAATAATAACATATTATAAAGAGAAAATAACCCTTAAAAAGGAGTTATTATAATCATATCATAAGTATTGATATAAGACTACTCTAATTTTACTTAAAAAAAAAATATCAATGTCATATGACTATGCAATGCATAATTAGCAATATTAACATTACTAAGCAATGCATAATTAATAATACCAACATGAAATAGTAATGTGTCAGAAAATTTTAGGACAAAAATATAAAAAAAGTTTGTTTCTACATTGATTATTGTCTCTTTAACAGAAATGCTGAATCACAATCAAACTAAACAAAGTAATGCACAACACCATCACAGCTGTAGACATTACCACCCTATAAAATCATTAAGCCAACAACATGGTTGTTCTATCAACAATATTGATCTAAATTGACACTTCAATAGTTATAAGCTGTTAGTAGATATCACATTGATTGCCTTTTCTGCCTATTGAGTAATATATATTGTCTGTCTACTGAGCTAGTATTTGTTCATTTTTTTTTTTTTCTTTTGCTAACTGTTATTCAATAATTATATTAAATTTCAATTTTATCATATTTATATTTGTTCAATTTTGGTATTTATTTTTATTTTATTAAATTTATTTTATTAAAATTATTAAATTCATTCCCAACAAGGCTGCAATCAACCGCTATTAAGTAAGGATACGTCCCAAATATTGCAATAGTATTCCATACAAGGCTGGATTTGAGATTTATAGAGATAGAGAATAGAATCCAGAGTAAGGAAGTGTTGAGCTCATTAAAGAGATTTAGCAGATGCTAATTTTGCAACAGATTTGATATATGGTTTCCAAGAAAAATCAGAAATAAGAGTTAATCCTAGAAGATGAAGGGTAGATGACTCATTGAGTACATTACCGTTCATAAATAAAGGAAAGTCTAAATTATTGCGATAACGATTGGCTGAAAAAAATTGAGTTTTATCTGATTTAAAGTTCACCAGCCACTGTGAGCCCCATGCTATAGCAGAAGTGAGATCCTTTTCAAGCTCAAATGCCTCCTCCAAGCAATCAGAGAGTGTTGGCTTCTTATCATGACAAGAATATGACCTTGCTGAAAGACCTTGCTGAATGACAAGTGAAGGCTGAATGAGTTTTGGTTAATGGAACTAGAGACGGTGAGTCATTCCATATGATTTCATCAGAAAAATAAAGTGTCACCTAATTGAACAAAATTGTTTTATTTTTACATTATTGGCAGTCCATTTTAAACAAATAATAACTGCAAAATTTTTAGCTTAAAATATACATAGGTTGTTGAGAGTTGAAGTAATGCTGCATTATTGTGATTATCTTAAGAGACAGCAAAGCAACTTTGAGATATAATATCTTGAAAATGATTTGGAGAATTTTTCTAAAATTTGGAATCTAAATAGGTTTTTGCTCAATGAATTCAAAAATACTGCTCTAAGGACTTGATTCAAAAATACTGCTCTAAGGACATGTTTCAAATTGTAAACTTATAAATTATCAATTTTTGGAGTTAAAATAGATGCTGTCACCAGAAATCAAAAAAAAATAGTCAGTCAAAAAAAAAATTTATCATAAAAAATTCTTCATTTTTTTAAATGTTCAAGTCTCTTATTTGTTAATCAAAATCTATTATTCTTGTTTTTTGGAATAATATCAAATACTTTTGTTTGTGTATCCACACTCTACTGTAATAATAAAGATTGATAAAGTTTGTGCCACACAGCTATCAAAAAAATACTTAATACATGATACATAAAGTAGATTTTCTTATTTAGTTATATCTTCTTGGTATAACTAAATAAGATATATTTTGTCATATCTTCTTGAATCTTATAAACAAACCCTGTGTTGATAAATAGATTCTAAAAGGTAACAAAAACGTTTTTGTTTGAGATATGTTTTTTTCTTGAAAATAAATTACAATAGCAAAACGTGAACACTGACTTTTGCTCCAGTGATAACCTGCACAACCAATTGATAATTTTGAGCAAAATCTCTTAAAATTAAGGATTTTAGTTTATATTTTCTACTTTATGTTTTTGTTAAAAATTGTGGTAAAGTTATCAATGCTGTCAAAATCATTAAATTCATTCAAGGCAATAGTTGTAACAGTATCGTCTTACAGTCAGTACTCTGCTGTTGTTTGAATACTACTTCTACTTCTAGCTCATTGACTCTGATTTTTCCAAGAGAATAAATGTCAGTGAAGAACCCAGAATTTATTTTGGGATACCGCTTTTTTTTCGGCAATGTTGGGGGACTGGGGGGGGGTTGATGTTTTAGAGTCCCCCACCTCCTTCTCCTCCTTCCCTAGTTAAAACCGGTGCCGCAAAAATGATTTTTAATCATCATTTTTTCAATCTTCTTTATAATCATTTGTCTGTGAACTTACGGTGGACAATGAACTTACCGGTGGACAATGAACTTACCGGTGGATAATGTTACTTATGATAAGATATGATATGATAAGAAAGCTATTTTACTTAAGACTTTAATAAATGCTTTTGTTGCCACGCTATTAGTAAATAGTTTTTGAAAGTTTTTTAAAGTATTTTAAACATTAACTATTTAATTTTAGTAGTTGTTAATGTTTTAATTAGTAATTAAATGTTTAAATACTTTAAACAACTTTTAATTAATATTTACATTACATAATATACTTATATATATTAAATCGCGTAATATTTTTAAAATTAACAAAATAGTTTTACGTCTTGTATTAGAATAAAAAACTTAAGCATTTAATAAAAGTATTTTAATTTTATAATTTTAATTTAAATATTTGCAAATCATTTAACTTTTGCTTAATAGTTTTTAAAGTGATTTTAAAAAAGATAAAAGAACCGGTAATGTTAAAAGGAACTATAATTTCAATTAAAGTTCCTTTTAACATTACCGGTTCTTTTATCTTTTTATCTATCTATCTATCTATCTATATACATATATATATATATATATATATATATATATATATATATATATATATATATATATATATATATATATATATATATATATATATATTTATATATGTATATATATATATATATATATATATATATATATATATATATATATATATATATATATATATATATATATATATATATATATATATATATATATATATATATATATATATATATATATAAAATATCAAAATAAGGTTATAGGGTCCCCTCCAAAAAAGTAAAATAAAGTTTAACAATTAGTATTTAATATTTTATATTTATAATTTTACCCCTAGAATTTTGAAAAATGTATCATTAAAGTGACATTGAAACATAAAATAAATAATTGTGAAAGTTAAAATTATTTACTATGATTTTGTAATTAACGAGAGTTAATTATAAGATCTTAATAAAATGAATACAACTTTTTTTTTTTTTCCAAAGAAAATAGTTTTCACACATGTTTGAAGTTTTATTTGCTATGATTGTTTTTAAAAGTATCAAGCTCAAAAATAAAACCAAACTGTGAATTGAGTGGACATAAATGCAGCTTCTGTTGCGAGTTAGGCTGTTTGTCAGTTGATGTAGCAGCACTCCGTTGGGAGTGAGGCTATAAGATAGTCGATGTAGCAACACTCCGCGCATGTTTTACAGTTAAGAAATAAAAACATTCAGAATTTTTTAATTTTGTATATTTAAAACATTCAGAATGTTTTTATTTAAAAAAAATAAGACAGAATGTTTTTAAAAACATTCAGAATATTTTAAAAAACAATCAGAATGGTTTAAAAATCATTCTAGTCTTTTAATTTGCGTTTTTGTGGTTTAATTACTTTCTAAAATTAAATTAATGTGTTTTGACATAATCTAATCAGCTTTAAAACCATAAATATGGAAAAAGCCATTTTTTACCACAAACACATTTTCTTAGCCATAAAGTATAGGTATAGTGTATAAATAAAGTATAGTGTTCATTTATACTAGCTGAGATCGGACCCGTAAAATACGGGTCTTTGTAAGTCTATTCCAAACTGAACTTTTCTATACTTTTCCCCCATACATCCTAACTTTCGGGATCCATAAATTATGGGTCTTAACCAAGCCTACCATTTCTATCCATATCTATTCTGCACTGATTATTTATATACCTATTCCTTATTTAATTCAATATTTTTTAGTAAAACAATTTATTCTGAAAAAAATATTCAAGAGTAAAAAACGTAACATGTGCACCTTTTCTGCATATGTAGAGCTTATAAAAGACTTATAATTAGGTTTATTTTTCTACTAAATGCGTTTCATTTGATAGCTCATTAGTTAAGTGTGCTGTCATCAGTTTTGTTTTAAGGGGTTTAAGACTTTCTCTCAAGGTAATAAAAAAAGTATATAAGCATTATTTAAAAATTTGAAATTTTTAAAATAATGCTTATATACTTTTTCTCATTTTATAGATATATTATACGCAATTATCTCTATATAATGCATGCTAACTTAACATATGCTAAAGACGTTTACACTTACAAATCTTTTTAGGTAACGCTATACAAATGGAACTAAGAAGTTCCTAGACCACTAAAATATAGTGATAAAAAAAAAGTATATTCTAATGATTATTATTAAAATCTAAAGAATAATATAGCCTTAACTATTAAACACTAATCAAAAAGTTTCAATCAAAATCATATCAAAAGCCAAAAATATTTTGCGCATTGACATTGGTTTGTGGCAAAAAAAATTTTTATGTGTCAAGTTTTCTTTTGCATCTTGCATTTTTTGATTAATTTTAATTGTTGCATATAGTTGCATAAAAACATATAAAACTGATACAGATATATCATTTCAT